ATTCTCAGAGATCTGCCTGCCTCTGCCTCCCAGATTACTATTTGAGCAGTTTCAGTCTGAGTGGGAAACGCTTCTACCCATCCACAAAAGGCATTTATAAAAACTAAAAAGTTCTTTTATCCTCCCCTATCAGGCCAGATCTCAATGAAGTCAGTTTTCCCAAAGTTCACTGGAGTGTTGGTCTCTCAATTGGACCCCTTCCTGGATAAGGGCTTTCTGCTTTGGATTCACTTGAGCACAAACCTGACATCTGGCTGAGATATTCCCCCATTAGGCTGTCCAGTCTAGGTATAACATACCTTGGTCTGAGCCACTCAGAAGGTTTTGTGGACCCCAGATGAGCAGCCTAGTGAAGGTCAGTTCCCAGAGTCCTTCCAGTCATTTTTAGGAGAATGATCTTTCTCTTCAGCATCCTTCACCAACCTGTGGGTTCAAGCTGTCCATTCCTTCCTCTTGGTTGTACCATGGAGTCTCAGGCTGCACCAGGTTGGGGTATGTCATCAGAATATCAATAGGCCCCACTGGTCTTAGGGCCTTTTGTCAGGCGGCCATGTCAGTTGCCCTGTTACCTCTTGCCTCAGGGAAATCATCTTTTTGATGTCCTTGAAGTGGACCAGTGGAGGATAGCAATATGTGGAGAAAGCCAAATAGCCTCTAGAAGGACAAGTATTTTCTCTTTGTTTTTAATGTCCTTTCCCCCAGTCCTCTTTCTCTATTGATCATAGTGTGGACATGTACAGTAATAAAAGCATGATGACTGTGTGTATGTATGGTGGTGGACTCTCCTTTTTCCCTCCTGAAAGCCTGGGTCAGATCAATCAGTTCTGAGCTCTAGGCTCAGGTCCCTGGCTTGGGCCCCAATAGTTTCAGTTAAAGTAGCTACTGTGGCTCCCATGTACCTGATCTCATCTTCCATCTCATGACAGTCATGGATGAGCACTTGTAGGTCATCTTCAGGCAAGAGGACAGCAGGACTGATTGTGGTACGTTTCTCAAACTGGACTCAAAGCGTGGTTCAGGAGGAGGGCCTGGTACTGGGTCACACAGGCAGTGTTCTGGTGTTCCCCAGAGGAGGGCCTCAATGGCATGGTGTCTATAAGATCTTGACCCAGAGTTAACTTGTTTTTTTGTTTTATTTTTTCATTAGACTAGCAGTAGCCCCCACAGTTCTTAGATAAGTGGGCCATCCTGTGGCTACAGGGAGATACGTCACAGGATGTTTCCACAGTCCCAAAGTTTGGGTTAAAACTACTTTTGTAATGTGTTTTCTTTCGTGGACAAACAGATGAAAAGGTTTTGAGGCATCTGGAAGTGCTGGGGCTGAAGATCAAGTCAGAGCTGCTTTTAAAGCCTCAAATGCCTTTTGTTTAGTCTCGGCCCAGGAGGGGCTTGGTGCTCTACTTTGTGCTGGTGTATAGAGGCCTTACTAGTCTACAAACTCTGGTATCCAGAGGCAGCAATATCCTGCTGCACTAGTAACTCTCAAACCTGCCTCTTAAGTCTTTGGAGTCGGGGTCTGAAGGATGGCAGCAATCCTGCTCTGAGACAGGCCCCCTTTGCCTCCTCTCAGCTGGTAAGGCAGCCTCTGATGTACAACGTTGGGCTTTCTTAGCTGACATTTTATAGCCCAGGGTCTGTAACTCTTGCAGCAGTCCCTCAGTGGCCTTTTTATAATCTGTTTTCCCAGGAAACCTCTGATGGAAGGGCAGGAGGTCAGCATCTAGTGCCTTAGGACTTTCAGAAAGGAGATATGCTTTCAACAGAGGGCAAGGCACCAAATGTTGCTGGGTATCTGTAAGTCTAACTGCATGCCATCATCAGAGGAGGTGATGGTGTTAGGCAAAAGGTCTTGCCCTAATCAGTTCTCTGCTGTTAAACACCATTTAAGCTACCTCCAGCAACTGGAACCTACTTAGACCTTTTACTTTTTTAACTCTTATAGCTCTTTTCTAATATCTGGGGCCCACCGGGTGACAAAGGAAATATTTTCAGTGGCTGTATTTAATCTTCCGAAAAGGACTCCCTGGTCAGTGTTGGACAGAAGGGAAAATCGTTCTGTCCAGGCTGCCTTGATTCCACCCCCACCAGCCTGAGGGCAGTTCTTCTTCTCTTTTTCAGTGAATGGTGGATTTGAGTTTTCCAATCATATGGATCATTGGCTGAAAAAAAAAAAGACAAAAATCATGAAAGAGGAAGGAGGGGGACTTCCCCTTTCTCCCTTCTCTGGGACTTAGAGCAGGCAGGGGAGTGGAGGGGTGCACACCTAAGGGAACATTCAGCTCAGAAGGCAGGGGGCCCAGGACGAGACCGCCAGCCTCTCCCTGACTCCACACAGGGACCAACCTGGTGAGTGGGACTCAAGTGACGAAACAAGCGAGTGTTCCAGAGTGAGACAGGCAGGGTTGTGTGTGTGTGTGGGGGGGGGTGTCTCTGGGTGACCTGGCAGAGCCAAAAGGAATCAGGCTCCAACAAGAAGAGGCACAGGTCTTAAGCCAGAGGGATGTCTCAGACCAGAGAAAGCCACTGGTCAACAATGGGAAACAGAACTGTCAAAAACATATAGACACCCAGAGAGACACACAGTAAAAACAACCAGGGGTGGCCACCACACACTCACACACCTGAACGAACCAAGGGGAATCCAGTGACATCTCACACAGATCCTGGACACTGCATCAGTGGCCATGTCCGACCTCTCCTATGCATCTAACCAGAAGGTACCTTAACCAGACTTACCTCCAGAAGTGACAGACCGGGCGACTTTCTAATTTGTCTCCTTTGGAGGTGGAGGTGTCAGACTCCTCTGAAGTGTTAGGCAGGGATTGACCACAGAGACTCCTGGGGGCCTAGAACTCAGGTTGTGCACTCCCTAGGAGCTCCTTGGCCACTGCACTCTTTCTTGCTCCAAGGGGCTGAGACCCCTGGTGTCTCAAGGTCTGGTCTCTGGGGATCTTGGTGGAACCTCCAGAAATGTTGTGGGGTGTCCACCAGAGAAGACTGCTTGAACATGGTTTTAAGCCAACAGAAAGTCTTTATTAGCGGCCAAGGACTCCACCAGGTGTTTGGGATCCCAGTGTAGCACCAGTGTAGCACCAAGCCTTTCTCTTATGCACAAAAACCATGTTCTGGGTTGATATACTTCAGTTAACAAGAGCAGTTAGCCAGAAGTGGAACTACAGAACAGAAAGCAAGGTTAGTACATTAAGAGACTTTCCCAGAACTATGGACTTTGATGAATTAGGTCCTTGTTTTCATTTTCTCAGATGATGCTGTCTATGTGCTGAGTTTTATGGCCTGAATGGTACTTCCATCAAGGAGTCAGTTGTGCTAAGATTTGGGGGCCAACTAAGGTCTGGGGCCCTGTTACCTTCCCCACTGATCTTAGTGAACAAGTCAAAGCATGGACTCATGCTGCTTTAAAGAGGTGTACTTAGCCTGGCGGTGGTAGCGCATGCCTTTAATCCCAGCACTCGGGAGGCAGAGGCAGGGGGAATCTCCATGAGTTCAAGGCCAGCCTGGTCTACAGAGTGAGTTCCAGCACAGGCACTAAAACTACACAGAGAAACCTGGCTCAAAAAAAAAAAAAAAAAAAAAGTGGTTGTACTTGTTCCTAAGGAACATTAATTTTACTGAACTGAAACATAATTGGCCATACAGTTTAAGATGCAATTTTGTAGCCTGAATGGTACTTCCACGATGGAGTCAGCTGTGCTATGGTTTGGGGGCCTTCTGAGGTCTGGGGCCCTGTTACAGTATGTAATTAGCATCAGCCAAGCTGGGGCGGACCAGCGGTCCTGCACATGGGCCAGCACTGCCTACATCCTGACAATAAAAACATAATAGCTGTTTCATCTTTCTTTGATATTTCCAGTAGGAATTTAGATGAATAAGCCACTAATTATGCCCTCAAATCTCTAGAATGAATGAATAAATTCTGCTCAGGTGAAATAAACATGAAACTTAGGGTGGATCTGAAAGAAAATCCTTTACTTGAAGAAATAAGATTTTTAACTAAAAACTGACATCCTTTAGATTCCAAAATCACTAGCAGACAAAATTCTCAACAAAAGACAGGGCTAAATCTGAAGGAAACATTTATGATGTGCTGTCTCCTTCAAAATATCTCCAGCAAAGATCTACCTCAGTGCTTGAAATGTCAGTACTAAGAAATTACTTTGTCAGGAGGTCTCTGTTTCAACAAACTCTTACTGAAGCTCAAGTAAGAACAGAAAGTATAATATCACTGGAGCTGGCTAGGGCCGCTCCCAAGTAAGAATGGAAAGTATAATATCACTAGAGCTGGCTCCCAAGTAAGAACAGAAAGTGTAATATCACTGGAGCTGGCTAGGGCCACTCCCAAAGTCAACAATCAGTAAAAACATAACACTGAACATGTTGAAGAAAGTGTTTTAATTGTCAGACATCAGAGGAAGTGATGTTCAGTCTGGGGGCAAACCCCACTTCTTCAGCTCTCCAGATTTTCCTAGGAAGAACAGTGAGAATCTTAGTCAAAAAGATGGTCCTTAAGAACTATCTAAGAATCCAGGGAAACATCTGCAAATACCTCCTGGGACTACTACAGCTTTTATGACAACTTCTATTGATCCAAGAAATGGAAAAAAAATACTCTAAGATAGCGGAAACTCTGCAGATTATTAAGATATAGGCTTAGTGTCTGTTTTCTAATGAGAGGCAACAAGAGAGGATGTGAATTTGAGTGGGTGGATGGGGAGGTGTAGACCAATAGGAGAAATAAATTCCCAAACAAAGCAAAATGAGGCATAAAGTCTACAAAAATACCATTAAGTTTGTTTTGTATTGACCAACTGACTCCGTCAGAAAAAACTCAATTTTACTTTGCCAGCAGGTATCAACTGTGGTTGGCTTTTTGGATAAGGTTGGGAGCCTGTGTCCACTTCCCTCTCTCAGGGCTGGGATTCCATAGGCTTGAACCTATGCAGGCTGCCTCAGTCTCTTGAGTTCATATGTGCATTAACCCTGTTGTGTCTGAAAGACACTGCTTTACAAACTTGTTTTTCTTGGTAACATTAAGATGATTCTGGGAGCTGGGAAAATGTCTTGGTAGGTAGTAAAGTGCTTATCATGAGCTCAAGCATGAGGATATGAGTTCAGATCCCCAGAGCACATGTAAAGATGGATGTGGTAGTATATGTCTGTAACCCCAGTGCTCCTACTGCAAGGTGACACTCATGGACCAGCTAGCCTGGCGTATGCAATGGAACCACAAGGAGACCTTGTATCAAACAGTAAAAGGCAAGGACTGACATCCAAGGTTGTTCTCTAGCCTCCACAGGTGAGCTGAGCCAGGCACATGCCTGCCTTCAGGAGCATACTTACACATATCACAGACACGCGGCACAACATACACAAGACTATTTGAAATTTTCTCAACACATATGAAAGATGCTAAGGAACAAAGGCTCAGAAATTTACCAGGAAGCAGAATAAAGCCAGGCTGCGATGAGACCTCCACCATCAATATACTTTATAGCTAATGGTAGAGATTGGCTTTACAGCCACTGTTACAGTGGTCAACATTTCAGGCAGTACTGTCCAACCCTCACAGGCTGAGCTTTGATTTCCTTTTCCCATGACAACTTACAAAAAAGGTTAATAATTTAGAGTCCCAGTTATAAACCCAAAGCAGCACAAATGCCTAGCAAAATGTGGGGCTTAATAAAAACTTACCCATCCTCCCTGGCCCTGGATAAATTCTCGGATGGTCGTGTTCTCATTGATCATGCCTGTCATGAAGTTAGCCACCTGTCTTGCCATCTCAGGAGCCTTATGGACCACATATTCAAGAAGTTTCACAGACACTGCCAGAAAGGCTCTTTCAAAAGCTAGGGTAGGGTTCTGAGCACACCAGGCCACGCTGAGAGACTGTACTGTGTCCTTGAGTATAGTTCCTGCCTGAGAGGGAGACAGGCTGTCAGGATCACTCAAACAGTACTGGGGTCTTCAGGTCTAAGAAGTGTTCTTCAGGATGTGGCAGATGTACCGCAGGTCATACGAGGGAATATTAGAGGGCAGATGGACACATTCCTTAATTTTAGCATTTTGTTACTTTAATATTAGAAAAAACATTAGCCCATCAAGCTCATAATTTCAGCTATCATTGGGTAGAATGAACAACATATTTTGAAAGAAACCTATTAAGCACATGATAGTGAGCACATCAGACTATAAAGGCATTATTTCTATGATTAGGAAATGTATAGCAAAGTCTAAAGTTAAAACAAACAAAAACAAAACCTCTTATTTTTCCTCTCCCAAATAAATTGGTACAAAAGCTATTAGGTGGAGTCAAAGTACATCTTTGGGGTACAAAGGGACTCAGTACTCCAGTACTGGTTAGAGCAGAATGTTAAATCCTAAAAAAGCTAAGAAAAGGAACAGCTTTGGAAGGAACCTATATCTGAGGATTGTATTTGTTTGTTGTTTTCACATTAATGTATTTACTTACTTATTTAATGTGTGTGTGCACATGCCCAGCGCTTATGTGTTAGTCAGAGGACAACTTGCAGGAATTAGTTCTCTCCTTCCACATGGGAGTCCTGAGGACTGAACTCAAGCTCTCATAGCGGCCAGGAATTTCCCCCAGTCACTCTCACTGGCCCTGTATCTTAGTTTCTAAGTATCATTTTTTCACTGACTACCAGCTTGTATAAGACCTCCTGCTAGAAATTAAGCAAATTTAAAACATGACAAAGAGACAAGTCATATGGTTCTGTCAACAAGAAAGGACAAACTCAACTTTATTCAGGGATATTCAATAACATTTCCCATCATCTTCAAATGTCAAGGTCATAAAATGTAAGAAAAGACTGAAGGATCAGTACAGACTGAAGGAGACTAGAAAGCATATAACTAAGTGACACATATGAACCTGGCTTGGATTTATTGCCATTGTTGGAAGCCAGGGAGTGGTGGCACACACCTTTAATCCCAGCACTGGGGAGGCAGAGACAGGTGGATCTCTGTGAGTTCGAGGCCAGCCTGGTCTCCAAAGCGAGTTCCAGGATAGGTACAAAGCTACACAGAGAAACCCCGTCTCAGAAAAAAAAAAATCAGTGGACTCGAAGGATTCAATACTACTACATCACTATTAATTTCCTGGGTTTTATGGTTACATTGTGGTTCTATACATAATGTTCTTACTTGAAGGAAGTATGAAAGTATTGAAGAGTGAGGAACTGTCCTATTAATTCCTCTCAAATGACTGGAGAAATTCTCTATAGCAGCAGTTCTCAGCCTGTGGGTTGCCACCCCATTGTGCGGTGTGTCTAACAACCCTTTCACAGGGGTCACTGAGACCATCAGAAAACACAGACGTTTACATTATGACTCATAATAATAGCAAAATTACAGTTATAGGGTAGCAACGAAAATAATTTTATGGTTGGGAGTCACCACATTAGGAACTATATTAAAGGGTTGCAGCATTAGGAAGGTTGAGAACCACTGATTTATACAATGCTTCCAACTTGAGTTTGAAACTGTTTAAAATGTCTTTTTTTTTCCTTGTTGTTGTTGTTGTTGTTTTGTTATTGTTTGTTCTAAATACAGAATAAAAAAGTAGACCTGGCTACCAGCCACATATGACAGTCTCAGGGCCAGCAGCTGGAAGGAAGATTCTGTCGGGATATAACACAGGTACATCCTCTAGGCTGTCCATTAGGAAGAATAAAGTGTGTTTCTGAAATCAGACTGGGTTCAGATCTTAGCTTCAACATTTACAGAGTAAGTTTCTTACTTGTTCCTTATGCCTCCATTCTTTGTGTGCTTGCATGATACCAAGTCAGGAAGGACAGATCGTGGGCCTATTGTGTATAAGGCACAATTCAAAACCATGTGAATACAGGAAGGAGGAAAACAGGTTTGATATTTGCTGTCATGGAGTTATATGATAATTCAGAGAGGTTGCTCTAAAATAACCCACACATGAGTGCAATGATTAAACAATGAAGTGTGATCATGCAAAGTAAGAAGTACTAGCTGTTGTTTTTATCTAATCAGCAGCATGTACTAGAACACTGTCTTATGATCTTTATAGCTAATACAGAGCCCAAGTGCTACTGCCAGTAATCAGAGTTCTGATGGAAAGCCAGAAGACTTCTTTAAGGGTTTATGTCAAATTGCATCAGACTTCTAAATTAGCCAATATTTCTGAATCTCACTATTGGACCCCAGGATGAATGGAGAGGCCCACTCCCAGCAAAGTTAAGCATTAAAAATATGAATAATGGGGCTGTTGAGATAGCTGAAGAATTAAAAATACTTGCCACAATTCAATTCAACCTGAATTCAATCCCTGAAACCTACACAAAGGTGGAAGGGAAGAACACCACAAAATTGTCCTTTGGCCTCCACGGATATACAGTGGCACATGTGTCCCTCTCACCACACCACACACACACACACACACACACACACACACACACACACACACACACACACACTAATAATAATAATAATAGTAATAATAATAATAATAATAAATCTACATAAAAATTATTTTCTAAGAATAATAAACTATGAGCATGATCTATGCACACTAAGGGCAGCTCTGATGAAGCCTATGAGTTCCTTCTATACTACTGTCTAAAGAATTAGCAATCACATTTCCTTCTATAGCTTCTTGAAACACAAACCTCCAAATCTTCACAGAACATTTCTGTTCCTAGGATATAGAAATAAAAAAGGAAGGAAGGAAGGAAGGAAGGAAGGAAGGAAGGAAGGAAGGAAGGAAGGAAGGAGAAAATTTAAGTTTGAAATAGAACGAACAGCAGACAATATTAAAAATAAAAAACCTGACCTGTCCTTGAATGGTTTCTGCAATGACATTATTGGCAGAAGCTTCCAATTCTCCATTGAACTCGTCACCCAGCATTCGAAGGCGGCCAGCAATAATAGACACATCAAAAGAGCAAGCCTCTCCTAAAACAGAAAAAAAATACTTTGACCATGCTGGGACGTCTCCTTAATCTGAGCAAAAGAGAAACATTCTCAAGTCTTATTTTTTGAGACAGGGTTTTTCCATGTATCCCTGGCTGTCCTGGAACTCACTCTGTAGCCCAGGCTGGCCTCAAACTCACAGAGATCCACCTGCCTCTACCTCCCGAGTGCCAGGATTAAAGGTGTGTATCACCACTGCCCGGCTCCATTCTCAAGTTTTTTAAACAGTTTTGGCATTATTTGTTCTCAGTAGTTGCAGTCAGACAGTCTTCTTTATTGAGACGCTATTTCCTTTCAAATGTTGCCAAAATTTTAGGACTTGCTTTTTAAAACTTAAGAGGAAGCAGAGAAAGCATACTCTGATTCCATTATCCACCTGTAATCACCTCAGACTAGGAGCCTTACCTGAATATGGTTCATCTGCCTCTGGTAGGTTCCGGTTAGCAACCTGTAATGTTGGGGTCAAAAAGTCTGTGAGTAGAGCATTCATGATACATTCTGTTTGCTCCTCAAAAGTCCGGGGATTCTTCATTTTAGACATTTTCCACAAAACAAGTGGGTTTCAGCTCAGCAGAAGGTTAGAGAACCTGGCACACCAGTTGCGCCTGCCTACCTCTCACTGTTTGTTTCCTGATTGGATATGTCCTAGAATCGTTCCCACTAACTTTTTTTTTTTTTCAAAAAGGTACACATTCTCGGAAGACAAGGAATTTTTAGTTCCGTCTCTGGACCACACCCTCACCCAGTATGTAAGATTAATGAGTAGCTTTTATAGATAAAGAATCTATAACTAAAATAGAATTGAGGAAGATTCTCTTGAGTAATTTTCTTAAGAAATACTTCCTGGAGCTGACCGCCACCACTGGGAGAGGGGAGGGCGGGTGGGCTGTGGGGGGGAAGGGGGAGGGGTGGGGAGGCCCGGAGGGACCGGGGCTGGCGGGCTGGCTTTGCCTCCCTACCCAGGCTCTTGCCTCGCCCTGCTTCTGCAGAAGGTTTCAACACTACATTTGCACAATGTCTTTAACCAAGTGTAGTGGATTTTGATGAAACACGGAACAACTTCCTAACTACAATCAAAGCTGTTGTGACGTTGGAGTATGTTGAGAGAGCAACACGGAACGACCATTTCTCAGATAACTTGCTTTATGTGTGGCCTATCCTGAACCACTTGGCGAAAGACTTTATGCAGAAACAAAGATTTTTGGTTTTGGAAAATCACGTTCGGCATTTGCGCAAGAGAATTCTGAAGTCAGCAAAGGAGATAACTGAGATTGAAGTGGAGAACAAATTCACCAATTTCATCACTGTTTTCAAACACATCGATGACAAAAATATTTTTCAGAAGTTCTATACAATGCTAGCAAAATGTCTAATTCATGGGTTGTCTGGAGAAGCCATGATCAAGAAATTCAAGCAAGGCCATTATGACGAGTTTACAAGCAATCTACATCAGATACACACAGACATGAGTGTCAGTGCCGATCTCAACAATAAGCTCAAAATGTTCATCAGAAACCAAGACACAGGGATGGACCTAGGGGATTAGTTCCCAAATATATGTCCTTCAGGCTGGTGTATGGCCTCTCGATCAGGCTCCTTCATCCACATCTGCAATTCCCCAAGAATTAGAAAAAGTGTACAGATGGTCAAATTGTTTTACAGCCAGCATTTCAGTGGAAGGAAACTGGCGTGGTTGCATTATCTCTGTACAGGTGAAGTTAAAATGAACTATTTGACAAAAACGCATGTAGCTATGATTATGGCCTACCAAATGGTAGTTCTTCTTTCTTGACTTTAACAACAGTGAAACTGCCAGCTATAAGGAACTTCAAGGCAGCACCTAGATGAACAAAAAGGAGCTGACCAAAATGGTCAAATCATTACTTGAGGTGAAGATGATTAACCATGATTCAGAAAGGGAAAATATCGATACGGAATCTTCATTTTCATGAAATATGAGCTTCAGCAGTAAGAGAACAAAATTTCAAATTACTATGTCAATGAAGGCTACACAAGAACTGGAACAAACTAGAAGTTCTGTATCTCCAAATTGCTATCGTCCGCATCATGAAAGCACACAAACTGCTTTGGCACAATACCCTCACTCCAGAGGTAATCAGCCAGTCAAGAGCCGGGTTCAATCCCAGTATCAGCATGATTGAGAAGTGCACAGAAGTTCTGGTAGACAAGCAGTACACCGAGCACTGTCAGCATCTGCAGATGAACAGTTACATCGTGCGACACCCTGTCCTGGTGCGGGTGTTAGATTATGGCTGTCACCATTGGTGTGTTCCTGGGGGCAGAAGCAGGCCTGTGCCTCCACACTTTGGTCATTTAGCAGCCCCTGTGTTTCTGCTGTTACAGTGTCACCAGCGCCACATCATGAGCGTCAAAGACAGTGAATGCCTAGAGCTATTTCAAGCTCATGTCATTATGACATTTCTTAAAACTTTATTAAAAAAACTGAAAGAAGCCGGGCGGTGGTGGCGCACGCCTTTAATCCCAGCACTCGGGAGGCAGAGCCAGGTGGATCGCTGTGAGTTCGAGGCCAGCCTGGGCTACCAAGTGAGCTCCAGGAAAGGCGCAAAACTACGCAGAGAAACCCTGTCTCGAAAAACCAAAAAAAAAAAAAAAAAAAAACTGAAAGAAGTATTGCTGAAATGTGAAATTTTGTTGGGTACCATGCTTTCTCCTCTTCATATTTGCAGTTGATATGTTTTTGTTCTTATTTTTTAATGTATCTTAAAGGACATAAAATAAAAACTTAACTATTGTAATATGACAATAACGTAATAATTGTATCTACCTTAAAATGACAAACATGTTGCTGCTTGTCAAAAAAGAAAGAAAAAAACAGAATTCACTTTTCTTTTTTGTTTTTAAGATTCATTTATTTATTATGTATAGTGTTCTGCCTCCATGTACACTTGCATGCCAGAAAAGGGCACCAGATCTCATTATAGATGGTTGTGAGCCACCATGTGGTTGCTGGGAATTGAACTCAGAATCCCTAGAAGAGCAGCCAGTATGGTCTTAACCACTGAGCCATCTCTCCAGCCCCCAGAATGTCTTTTTCTTAAAAAAGAAAAAAAGAAAGAAAGAAAGAAAGAAAAAGAAAAAAAATACTTCCTGTTAGGTTCTGTATCTGATATAATTTAAAGGGAAGTTTTTGAAGCTATGAAAGACAAGCATTCAACTTCTGATTAGGGCATTCCTTTGGCACAATTAGACAACGATTATTCACTAAGCACTTATGTGTTGAATACTATACTTGGCACTATACTACATTGACAACACAGAAAAATGGCCTTGTTCCTTAAGAAGCTTACACTTGAGCAGAAGTGACAGCTGGTGACAAGTCACATAACTTCTTGTGCTCCTGAGATACAGTGCACTAGGAGAGTATAACAGGGAAGCAAGCTTGGGGCCTTGGAAAGGTTCCTTAGAGTAGTAACATCTGGGTTGGTTCCAAAGGATAATAGGGATTCATTGAGCAAAAAATAAAATAGAATAAAATAAATAAAAGAATAAGACTGATATGGAAAGATGACAAAGATAAAGAGGCTAGGAAAGTGGAGGAAAGTCCCTGCTCGGGCTTTTGAGGAGTCAGAGTGATGAGAAAGTATTTCAAAGGGAAGTCATATGAATTAAGATAACATGATGGGAGATGAGTTAACACTATCTGGTATGTGGTAGATGTTAAATATCCTCTGGTTAGCCCGATGTTTAGTGATCAGGAAACAGAGATTCTGTTTTTAACAATGAGTTTGTCCTAAAGGATTAAATTTCATTATTGTTTTAGAAGATCTCAGGATTGAATACTCACCTGTAGTGGCTGCCTACATGTCTTTTTGCGAGCCTTAGCCTTTAATGGCTGAGCCATCTCTCCAGCCTAGGCTGCCTTCTTAAGGCAGCTAACCCCAGATTTGATGTCTGAGTCTCAGATGCATCATTCAAACCTCCCAGCAGACCTAACACCCAAATTTGTCTTTCCCAGTGAAATTAACAGCTTCAACCATAACAATAAGAGATTCAAGCATAAACAGTAGGCCAGTTATTCAGAATGGGATTTCTATCCTACAAAACAATCATATATTCTCTTTTCTGCCCATTCTAAAATAAATAAATAATACACACCTATTAGACTGGCCAGAATGGCGCACCACCAAATGCTGGAGAGGATGTAAAGTGATAGGAACTCTCATTCACTCCTTGTGGGAATGTGAGTTTGGCAATTTCTTTAAGAAAAAAAAAAGTGCCGGGCGGTGGTGGCGCACGCCTTTAATCCCAGCACTCGGGAGGCAGAGCCAGGCGGATCTCTGTGAGTTCGAGGCCAGGCTGGGCTACCAAGTGAGTCCCAGGAAAGGCGCAAAGCTACACAGAGAAACCCTGTCTCAAAAAAAAAAAAAAAAAAAGAGAAAACCTACAGCATTTATATTACCATATAATATAGGAATTACACTATAGACGAATTGCTAAGTTGTCTTAATAAATAAAAACCTGGAGCCAGATATAGGGGTGAAAACCTGAGAGATCAGAGGAATAGGAAAAACCATAAGCTAACCTCCCCTCACTGACACCTCAGTCTCCAAAGAGACTTACTTCCTGTATACTCACACCTATATTCCTTTCTGTCTGCTATATAATTTGCTCTCTCTGTCCAGCTACATCACTTCCTCTTCCTGCCCAGCTCTGTCACTTTATGTCTGTAAGTACAGACCTCCAGGCCTCCATGGTTAACTAGTGTTGGAATTTAAGGCATGTGCCACCATGTCTGGCTCTGTTCCCAGTGTGGCCTTGAACTCATGAGACCCAGACAGATCCCTGCCTCCCAAAGGATAGAAATAAAGGCATGTGCTACCATTGCCTGACTTCTATGTTTACTATAGTGGCTGGCTTTTTCCTCTGATCCTCAGATAAATTTTATTGGGGGACATAGTATATTGGGGGAACACAATACATCACCACATTACACTCCTTGATTTTTACCTAAAGAAATAAAAATTTATGTGCACACACACACACACACACACACACACACACACACACACACAAAACCCGCTTGTGGATGTTTATGAAAGCTTTGCTTATTTTTGAGGTAGGTTCTCATGTAGCCTGGGCTGGCCTCTAATGTACTATGTAACCAACAATTACCTTTTTCTTTCATCCTGCTGCCTCCACCTCCCAAATGCCAGAACTGTGTGTCTACCACCACATCTGGTTTATGTGGTGGGAAGCCACCTAGGGTTTTATATATAACAGACCAGCACTCTACCAACTGAGTTGCATCCCCAGCCCTGTTTATGAAAGCTTCAGTGGAGAAATTAGTAAATCAATGTCGATATATCCAGACAATGAAATATTATTCAGCACTAAAATGATAAGCTAATTAGCCATGAAAAGAAAGATGGAATTTAAGTAACTGGACTTTGCTACACAATTGATGAGCTAAGTTCAGCAACTACAACAAATGTTCCAGTCTGACTGGGCCCTCCCACATTAATCATTAATCAAGAAAATAACCCACAGACATGCCCACAGGTCAATCTGACAGAGGCAATCCCTCTCTTGAAGTTTCCTCTTCCCAGATGACTGTAGTTTGTGTCAAGTTGACAAAAACTAACCATGGTAGTCACTGTTAAGTTTTTTTCATACCTTTAACATCAGATAAGCTCTCACAGTTTTTAGGATCTGAATCAGTGAGCCATGTTTCTAAGCTGGTTTTGATATATGGGCTATGGATATGAAATGAAAGTTACAAGTACACTGTGGGTCTAATGTGTTTCCAACAAAGAAAAATTTTAACTCTTGTTTGCATTTTTTCTTGTATCAAGTGTATTAATAAATTAGTATACAAAGTTGACTATACTAAAAGAACTTTGTTCTGACTCCTTTACCTAACAAAGAGAGGGAGAGGGAGGGAGGAGGGAAGGGGGAAGAGAACAGGGGGAGGGGAGAAGGGAACATAGAGCAACAG